GCCCGGCATAATGCCCCCCATCTGTGATGCTTCCAGGCAGAAGGGGTTTGGTGGTGGTTTCAGATTTTTTCACTTCCTTCTAGAACCCTCTGCTAACATGGTCCCTATGATGAATGCATCACTCAGTTGCTTTTATAAGTTGGTTCCCGGTGCCATTTGTCGAGTGGGTGAATGGATAAATAGGGCATATGTTACATTGGTTGTGAATCTTAGTAATGAGCTTGGCAGTGGTGTGATCTCTGCTCCAGCAGGACTGGGTTCCATGTCCCCTTGGCCCTCATTCCCCTGCACCTTGCGCCTCCATACCACACCAGTGCCTCCTCCCTCAGGTGTGGATGGTTATTTCTGAGCCTGTCTCGGGCTGCCCATTCTACCGCAAGTCTTCTAACGGCAGAGCGCTCAGCACCCAGTTGCTGCTCACATGGGTGTGGAATGGATTTACAAGTGTGATTCCTCATGCCAAGCTAAACTACTTGTGGGTGCATGTGACCAGCTTCAGCCCTGAGAATGAAAACCGGATTCCCAGAGTCCTGTGGATCATTCCGTGGAGCACTGCAAGAGTAGGGGATGGGGGGGGCCACTGGGGAATAAGCCGGACTCAGGGCCTGGGACGCGCCCCTCCTGCCGTGAAATCCAGTGTGAACCCCCTTGGGGCCCTCTCCCACGCTCGTGCCCTTGCTCCTTCCTACAAGCTTCCTGCGAGCTTGAGTGGACGGAGTCTGAAATCACAGTGCACCTCTCCGTGCAAAAAGGTCATGGCCCCAGCCGGAAGCCATGACCTCCAGGCCTGCCTTTCATCCGTCTTTCTTCCTTCATCACTCGTCCCCCTGCACATTGTCCCCACCTCCTGCTGCTGCAGGTTTATTTCTTCCCTCGTGGACACAAAGTCGATTTAGGTCAAACCAGTGAACGAATATGAGCATCCACTGTGAACTAGGCACTGAGAAGAGGCTCCTAAGAGGAAGACAGGGAGGCGACTCACCTGTACACACAACACGATTTTACGATCTGGTATCTGTCAAGTGCAGGTACTGATACTACACTGGACACATCAACAAGGAACAGTTCTGGGGGCAGCCTCCAATGTGCACAGGCCCCTGGGATCCCTCCCTGGAAAAGGGTTAGAAGTGGTTTTGAACCAGGCAGAACTAATCGATGGCCTCAGCAGCCAGGCTAGCGGTGCCCATGGTGGGGAGGTAGGGCCTTTGGGAGGCTGGACACACTCGGGTTATCAGTGGGGCTGCTTATGTTGTGAAAATTCAAGGGGCACCTGGGTGGCTCAGTCGTTAAGTGTCTGCCTTTGGCTCAGGTCGTGATCCCAGGGTCCTGGGATCGAGCCCCGCATCGGGCTCCCTGCTCCGCAGAAAGCCTACTTCTCCCTCTGCCGCTCCCCCTGCTTGTGCGCTCTCTGTCAAATAAATAAATAAAAATCTTTATTTAAAAAAAAAAAGAAAATTCATCAAGTGTTACCCCTAGGATTTGTAGGCTTTTCAATATGTGTGATGCACTTCATTTCACAGTTTACTTTAAAAAAAGAAGAGGGAGGGGCGCCTGGGTGGCTCAGTCGTTAAGCGTCTGCCTTCGGCTCAGGTCATGATCCCAGCGTCCTGGGATCGAGCCCCACATCGGGCTCCCTGCTCAGCGGGAAGCCTGCTTCTCCCTCTCCCACTCCCCCTGCTTGTGTTCCCTCTCTTGCTGTGTCTCTCTCTGTCAAATAAATAAATCTTTAAAAAGAAAAAAAAAGAGGGAGAAGAATTGTAGGCGATCAAGCCTGAGGTTAGTGGCAGACGCAGTTAGGTGCAGCACCGCCCATTCCCAGTAGGTGGCAGCATCGAGCCACTTGAGGAACTGCAGGACCCCAACAGGATTCCTGGTTTCTAACCGATTCCCCCCACCGACCCACCCCCGCCCTGTCCTGTCTGGGGGTTGAAAGCTACGGATTTTCATCAGACGACTCATCTTTATCTTTGGGATTCAGATTATTCCCTCCTTCCTTCCATCCCGGTTTTTTATTTCTCCTAAGAGTGGCCAAAGCCATGTACTTAGGAAAGGAAAAATCTCATCAACTATAAAGTTCATCCCACTGGCATTGAGCATAGCAGGGAGAAGGTGGTAGTCTGGTTTTTTCTTTTTTTTTTTTTTCCCTGTCAGGCTGCGGCACATAAAACTATCTGAGGAAGATTCCGATCTAAAAGATGAACTTGTGCACACACAGATCACCCCGTCGAGCCCACTGATGCTTAACTGGGTTTGGGAGGCAGCCCTTCCTTGTAGAATACCGGCTCAAATTTGCTTGGTGCTTTTGAATGCATTCGTATCCAGTCTCTTCCTTTACCTGCCCAATAAAATGTAGCCATGTGATTTTCTTGTTTTATTTTAAAACTGTTGCCATATACATACTCTAGTATATGTATTGGGGTTGAAATCCAAGGGCCGCCCGCCATTGGTTGGGAGGGAAAGATGGCTTCAGGAGCCAGCAACAGCAACCACCTAGCGTCCTCCTCCGTCCATCCTGCTGTCCATGCGTTTATGCATATTTATGCATTCATTCATCCCTCTGTGTTTTGGACATGTTTTTGAGCCTGTCCTCCATCTGTCGCGCACAGCGCTAAGTGCTGGGGACAGAGGAAGGAATAAGAGACTAGTCCTTGAGGTGATGGGTGCAGGGCAGGGTGCGGACTGGTCTTTATGTTGTAATCACAACACAGCCTGGTCATGCTTGTCATGGCGGCAGTGTGTGCCGGACATTGCAGGACCCAAGGGAGGGCATGGAGGTGTGTGCCGGGGACAGAGGTGGCCACCCAGAAAAGGGGATGCCTGATTCAATGGTGAAGGGGGAGTCCAGGTTTCCTGGGGAACATGGTACGTGCTGGCAACAACCAAGTGCGCATGTGACCTCCGTGAGGAGCGAGTGTTTTAAGTGTCAGACACCCCAGGCAGGTCAACAGGGGCTGATGGTGGAGAAAGTCACACGCTCAGTCTGTGCGGGTACAGTTCTCTGAGCTTCTTGAGGAAGATGCAAACGTGTGTCCGTGGGCATTGAAACCCCAACCTGCTGTGGATAAAGCCTGTGTGGCCTGAGGACACACATTCCTCATGGTGTGGGTGTAGGTGTTCCTAAAGAGGGGGGACCACAGACACCATGGCTCCGCCTTCAAGGCGCTACCATATTCAAATACCTCATAAGATCCAAGCGCATTTGACTGTCAAATAACCTTTCATGATTTTCGATGTAAAGACTCAAATTTTCTAGGAATCTTGCAGGCACACGAACTGTGGCACCAAAGGATGTCAGTCTGCCAAACGTGGCTTTGGCAGTGGAATGTCATGGGGGAGGTGGGAGGAAGGCAGCTTTATGACTCAAAAGAGTTTATTATTAGGATGGATTTTAGAGCCTTGAACAGGGCGTTGGTGACTTCTGTGCACACGCACGTGTGGAATTTCTTCCAAATTAACATGATACCCCTGGCAGATGGCCCCTATGACGTTGAAGAATAACATTGAATAATGTGGACAAGGTCTCAAAAACGTGTGTTACATATCTCCTTGAATGTTAAATATGTTGGGTCTTTTCCACCTTGGAAAATACCTCAGCACCACCACCAAACTCATATATGCACGCACGTATACACACACGTGCTCGTAAGATTTTAAAATACGAAGGCTAGGAATCCCTTCTTTGTAGTTGACCCTCATCTCTTTCCCAGTCACTCTCTTTGCTCCACGCCACCCCCTGAATCCACTAGAAAGTTTCCCCAAACTGCATCTGGCCACACGGCCGTTTGAGGAGGGCCACACAGGTACAAAGCGGGGGGCCGGACTCGGCATCACGGTTCATCTACATCAGATGGCCTCGCGCGAGAAACGAGGGCCCTATCAAATTAACAAAGCCAGCGCCTCCTTCCATGAGGACGGCAACACTGGTGGCCACTGGGCCTCTGAGGTCCTTGGCCCTTTGAGCCTCTACAGAAGAGCCACGTTGCGTGAGTGAACTTGAAGCACCAGGGGGTTTGCCTCGTGCTGCCGGCGACGCTCGTGGGCGTGGCTCCCACCGCACGTCGCTGCAGCTGTCCTTAGGAATAGGAAACACGCGCACACACGTGATGAGCACGTGCCTCCACGAATCATTCCTGGAGTTTGGAATAGCGCTTGTTCACGTGCTTCACAACTGAATCAGGTGGATTCTTCGGGATATACCATTTCACATCAGAAATAAAGTCCTTTCAGCATAGGGGTCAACCTCTCCCTGTCCCCTTCAGAGAAAACGTTTATATTTCACTATTCATCTAGTCAAAGTGACTAAAACCAGGCACTATAACCAAATTGTCATCCATCCGTACTGTAGGCCAACTAGAGAACGGTTTAATTAATTAATTAATTTTTATTTTAATTATTATTTGTATGACTTACACATTTTTTTTAAAGAATGTGAGTAGGCACTGTCTGCAAGGTTGAGGGAAAAGCAGCCTGCTTAAACGAAGCCCCAACTTCAACCTCTCCGCATCCTCTTGAGCCCATCCTGATGCTGGACTCAGCACGTAGCTGACGTATTTATGGTTCTTTAAAATTTATGAGTATTTTCAGGCATTCATTTACTCGAATCTTCCCGACAGCCCTTGGACAGATTTTTATTGCCTCTACTTGACAGATAAGCCAACAGCTGCTAAGAACAGGTAAGGGACTTGCCTTGGCTCCTAGAATTCACTGAGTAGGAGACAGATTCAAATCCAGGCCTTCCAAATCTGAAGCCTAGTGCTCTTGCCACTTCGCCAAGTGGAAAGCAGTTAATACCTGCTGGTATGAATTAACGTTCTTATCGCTGCTTTATAAGGAGCCCTTTGTTCCAGTTGGGCTTCCAAGTGGCATTCGCCAGCCCACCTGCTTTCATGAAGGGCAGCCGTCTCTGTCCATCAGCTGAGAAGGTTTGTATTGCTGTCTTCTGTCTTCTGGATGCTTCAAATCCCCACCCATTGATTTCTTTCCCCGTTATCTTTCCTCAGAGAACCTTTCCATAAGCTGCTGGCCCAAGGCCTTATCAAGGGGCAGACATTCCGCCTACCATCAGGACAGTATCTCCAGAGAGAGGAAGTAGATCTCACAGGTAAGAAAAAGGCCCATCTGGACCATCCGGGTACATCAGGCCAAGGCCAGGCCTGAGAGCCATTGACAAAGCAAGTGGTTGCCCGGGGCCTCGGCTGGGTGGAAAATCCAGGGTCTCCGGGGCTCTGCCTACTGTGGGCCGGTGTCCTCTGAAGGCTGGGGCCGGGATGACTGCCCGCCCGTCGGCCCCAGCCCCATCCAGCGTCCGTTTGCTTCTGGCAGGGTTTTTGTTTATATGTAACCCAAAGTCAGTCGGGGCATCACCTCATGTCCTTGCTCATGTTTGACAGCGTGTCTCAGGAACAGAGCCCCCAGACCCAAGAGGCACTCTTCTAAGGCTGGGGTGTCCCAGCACTTCTCCCTAGGTGGTCTCTAGGCGCATGTCAGCCCCTCGGGGCCACCCCGATACTGAACCCCTTCAGCACCCTGGAGCAGCCCTGTCTGGCAATCCCCTGACTTCCCTTGCACTTTTCCGCAGGGGTAGTTCCTCCCAGCAGATCTTGAGGGGGCACCGTGACAATGTCGTGTGCACCCAGCCTACTGATGAAATCAGTAGAAAATGGGAGTTGGGGGTACATAGGGGCACCAGTGAGAAACCCCCAGAACTCTGGCCATTCAGCTTAGAAAACCCAGGGCACAACAGAGGAGATCGCGTAAACCCAACAACCTCCTAATGGTAGGCAGCCTCCCAAGCCAAACACCTCAGAAAAGATTTAGGTGAAAGCCATCAATGGAATTACCTAATTAATGCAGTAATATATCAGGGTTTGGAATGGTCCGAGGGAGAAAAAGAAGCTGGAAAAGCAGAAATTGGCAGTGTTTCGCCAACATGGGCCAGAGGGGAAAGGAGCCAAATCCAAAGGGCACGTACATTTCAGTTGTTAGTGAAGTGCTGTCTGTGTTAAGGGCAGGGCTGCCATGTACAGCTGTGCAGCATGTGCACTGCACAAAGGCACCCAGCCAAGGGGGTGAGCAGGGCCTGAAATCCAGCCATTTGCCAAACCATACACCTCAGGGCCACATTTGCCAAGCGAGGGCACCTTTTTCCTACTTCTCAACTGCTCTGCCCTGATAGTTGGCTTTTTCCTAATTTGCACAACAGTGCTGGGAAGAGTAGCTACAGCCCGGAGGAGGTGTGCAGGGTAAACGGACAGCCCAGATAAAGCAACTTCAGTCTCCCTTGGCTCCGATGTCATGGGGCCAGACAGTGTTGTGAACATCTTTTCCCTTCCCACGCAGACTTGCCCGCTGGGAGAGAAGCAAGGGCAGGCTTCCATCTCCTTAATGGGTGCACTTCTGCTAAAGTATGGAATTAGTTCTTAGGTATATACATCAGTCCCTTGGGAGTTTGGTTGCCGTTGGAGTCCGGGACTATCTGGCTGGAAGGAACAGAAATGCACCCAAAGGCAGGTTGAGCACAGGATATGGAGATGTCACCCCAAGCCAGCTGCCAGCGCTCCAGCCAGGCTTCACAGCACGCCCACAACCACCGGGTGCCACACAGATGCCAGGCCTAGGACTTTCTCCTCTCCCCTTCAGTGGCCTCTGGTTCCTCTTCCTCCTTTCCTCTGCTTTTCTGCCCTGTTCTCCTTCCTCTGCCAGGCTTGGCTTCTGCCCTGCCCCAACTTTAGGGCACAAGGTGACCTTGGGAGCCACGATGCCATGTCTGGCCCCATCTCCTTAGGACTTTATGGTTCCAGTGCCCGGCAACATTGAAACAAGAGTTTCTGTCTCTCTGTTCCGGGTCCTGAGAAAGACCTTGGCCTTGCCAGATGTCCTTCCTTGTCCCAGCCACTGGAGCTCGGCCACAAGGTCACCTCATCCCACCCTAGCCATAGAAGGCCTTCTCTGTCACCACCCTCGGGACCGGTGGTGTGGGGGTGGGGAGGAGCCGCTTCCAAAGAACAGGGCACACGGCATTCCACGGGAGCCCAGTGAGCTAGCTCCACAGAGCCTGCTCGCGCAAGACCCTGAGTGGTCAGCTGCCTGCTCCCCGAGGAGACCGTGTGTCCGTAAAGAAAACAGCGAAATGCGCAAAGCTTTGCTACCCTGTTTTTTACTTTCTCTCTTGTATAAACGTCGTTTGCTTTTATAGAGCAGGAGGTTGCTTTGTCTCGTTTTGTGGTGGAGAAGAAGCTGTACGGGCCATCACAACTGTGCTCTATGTTCCCAAAGGGAAGGTTTGGGGTGGGAGGTGGGCCTCACTCGTTTCAAAATGAAAACATTTCCTGTGATATACGGTAGAGAGAGAGAAAGGGGCGTGTTGAGCGAATTCATGGGCTCCTTCACATGGACACTTCGAATTGCTCTTATTGAATGGGCTTTTATGGAACCGCCTAGAGCCACACCTTCCGTCCGCATGTGTTTTTCTGGCGCGCAGGTGCTGTTCCTGTTCATGCAGAAACGAAGGAGAGGTTGGAGGTGACGTGGGAGAAGATGAGCAAGTCCAAACACAACGGGGTGGACCCCGAGGAGGTCGTCGAGCAGTACGGCATCGACACCGTCCGGCTCTACATCCTTTTCGCTGCCCCTCCTGAGAAGGACATCTTGTGGGATGTGAAGAGTAAGGCCCCTTCCTCTCCCCGGCCTCCTTTGTGATCTGCCCCGGACACCGGAGGAGTTCGGGGAAAGGAAATGCCTGGGCTGAAGACAGTAGTCAGGGTTCTAGGAACCAGTTCCGTGAAGTGGCGTAGTGTGATTTGTCCAACATCCTGTGCCGTTCGTAGCCTGGGGTTCCCAGATGGAATGAACCTCAGAATCGGGGGCAGGGGCAGGGCTGGTGGCCATGTGGATTCCCAGTCCTCACCCCAGACCTCCTGACACAGCATCCGGGGGGCCCCAGGAACCTGCCTTTGGCAAGTCTGTGGTGTTGCTAATGCAGGTTCTACACCATTCTGCCGGAGAACATTCCCCGGGAGCCAGACCGGCTTCCATGCCACCCTGGGGCCCCTCTGTGGTCCACGGAGGCCAGTCCCCTCTTGATCTACCCTGAAAGGTTTGTTCTAGGGCAGGGTCGTCACCCCTTCCCAGCCCAGAAAACCCCGCCCTGGGGCCTGCTCCGGATGTTCCTCTGACCCCTTCCCTCACCCACAGCAGCCTCCAGAGCCCCTCAGGGGAGATTTGTCTCTGCAGAGTTGGTTAGATCTGAAAAGGCGTGAGTAAAATCTTGTTGGCTATCTGGATGTCCTAGAATACACGGTCCAGTGGTCACTCGGTTGCTGTGGCGGAAGCAGCCAGATGCCCGGATCACCACTTACGCCCTTGGCCGTGATAAGTGTGGCACAGGGGCCAGTCCCAGAACGGGCTGCATTGGAATCACTGGGGACATACAGAGGGCACACGTGAGGGCACAGGCGTCTTTGGGGACACCTCTGCGGCAACAGGCTTTCTTACTCAAGGCAGCTGGGCACAGGGGGCCCATCGTGGCCCAGGCTTCTGAGCTTGTTGTGGGCCGGGGTGGTGGGTGGGCGGCACTCCGAGGAGCCCTGCGGTCCAGTACGCCAAATACCTGGGGCTCTGGGGTGTGACGGAGTCCGTGCTGCTCTGAGCTCCCGGATGCTAGAGGCCACGGTGGCCCCCATAACTCCCACTGGGGCACAATGAAGCATGTCTTCAATGCACCCGTGCCTCTCTGGGCTTGGGGAGAACCAGATCAGTCATTCACATGTCTGTCTTTCTCTCTCTCTCGTTTCCTGACATGAAACTCAGCCGATGCCCTTCCCGGGGTGCTGAGGTGGCAACAGCGTCTGTGGGCCTTGGTGACCCGCTTCATCGAGGCCAGGGCTCCTGGGACGGCTCCCCAGCCCCAGCTGCTGAGTGATGAGGAGAGAGCCGAGAGCAAGAAGCTCTGGGAGTACAAGAACTCGGTCATCTCTGAGGTCAGGAACTTTCCGGGGATGCTGGTCAATTCTGTGACTGAGCACACTTGGTCCGGGTGGACCACCCTGCCTTGGGGCGGGCCGCTGTTGGCCTTGCTCCTTCCTCACTATGGCATCCCCCCAGCCTTGAAGGGTTGCCGTCTCCGTGTCGAGTAGCTCACCAAGCTGGAGCAGCCGGCCACGTGCTCTAATGGAAAGACATGCTCTCAGGAAAGGGCTTCCTCTAACGGTGTCCACCACGTGTCCATCCCAGATCTCGGGAGGCCGCCCCCTTCCCACAGGCTCCACACTTAACACTCTGGGGCAGAGAACCAAATGCAGGGTCTCGCTGCTGACACACCGCATACGAGATGAACAGAAACAGAAGTGTAGCACTGAAAGGGGCATGAAGAGACTGCTCTTTGGCCTCCTCATTTTACAGATGGGGGCAGAGATGAGGCCCAGAGCCGAGAATCCAAGGTCCTGGATGCTCCGCATAGTGAGGCCTTCCCCACCCAGTTACGTTGTTACACAGTATCTGTGTGAATTATTGTGGTTTAATTTTTGCAAATAAATGATGTGTTCGTGTTACCTTCTTAGAAAATGTTTTATTGTCTAAATCATTTTCTTTTTTTTCTTTTTTAAAGATTTTATTTTTAAGTAATCTCCACACCCAATGTGGGGCTCGAACTCATGCTCCTGAGATCAAGAGTCGCACGCTCCACTGGCTGAGCCAGCCAGGCGCCCCTGACTCATTTTAAAAGATTCTTCACTGATAACAAATCCCTATAAATTTCTTCTCTAGAAGTCTGATACCATACCATGACATTTGCCTTTTTAAGCACTTTGTGAAGTAAATGTCATATGTTTTTGAAAGAAGGCATTTAGGAGATCCGGAGCTATTTTTAGCGGGTGTCACTCCTTAGGCTGAATTTTTACTGTTATTTTTATTTTTTAGAATTGCTGATTTGAACTTTTAAAGTCAGCCAAGGTCAGTTTTTTGGATTCTGGTGACTGATGACATTGAAGAAACAGGGTTTTCATGAGGCCCTGGGTCCAGCGTGGTCTCATTCGGTGACACTTCTTTTTTTTTTTTTTTAAGATTTTATGTATTTATTTATTTGATAGAGAGACAGCGAGAGAGGGAACACAAGCAGGGGGAGCGGGAGAGGGAGAAGCAGGCTTCCCGCGGAGCAGGGAGCCCGACGTGGGGCTCGATCCCAGGACCCTGGGATCATGACCTGAGCCGAAGGCAGACGCTTAACGACTGAGCCACCCAGGCGCCCCTTGGTGACATGTCCTCAGGGAATATTCCCATCCACTCTAGTGTAGAGACACAGAGCTCACGCAGTTGAACTTTGTGATGTAAATGTTGCCTGGATGACTGTTTTCATGCCACATACTTCCTGTCTGGATTTGGCACATTCTTCTCTTCTGTCAGATCATAGAACTGGGGTATTTCGACAAGTTGGAAACTCTTGACATCTTTAGATGTGTTGTCTTTCTGTATTCTTGGCCGTGGTTGAAATCGAGAAGCACACAAACAGGAAGAAGCTGACAAGTCAGCTTGAGTGTTCTTGTGTTGACTCCGTATTTGAAAACGCAAAACTCACCTTATCCCATATACGAATAACCTTCGTTGTGAATGAAAGTCATGGAGCCACAGGGAAGGGACATCCTGTACCCCATTTCCTGTTGTTTTCATGTTTACTTGTCTGCGGGTCCTGCCTCCTGTCCAGGTGGTTAGAGGCGTTTGATGTCCCTGCTGGGAGAACCAACACTGACCCACATGTGGGGGGGGGCAGGAAACGCTGGACAGTGGAAACACCATTTGACCCTGATTTTTAAAATCTTTGTGCCAATGAAACATTACCATGATTATCCGAGATAGTGAATGCATTTATGAATTTCTTTGATTGCATTCATTTAATTCACATTTTTTGGATAATTCATTTGCTTTGTTGTTGTGTTGCATTGGTTTTTTGTGGAAAGCTCAAAGGGATTTTGAAGAAAGTGAATAATTTAACTTTTACCCATAGGTAACCACCCATTTCACAGAGGACTTCTCACTGAATTCTGTAATTTCTCAGCTGATGGGACTCAGCAGTGCCCTCCTGGTAAGTGGCCCTCCTGTCCTCATTTGCTGGTAGCAGGGGAGGGTGGGTGGCCTTGAGCCACATTGTGAGCTGGCCTGTAGGGTCCTGGTTGGTGGACAGAGAGCAGGACCATGGTGTCACCTCCTTGGTGTGGCTCTGTTATCTTAAAGAAGCCTGTTTTCCATAGTCACAACCTAGTTTTATAGCTGGAAGGTTCTTAAAGGTTGTCTGGTCCAAAGCCCACCCCCTCACTCCCCTCCCCCACCCCCATATTTTGCAGATGAGGACACTGATACCCTGGGAGGTTCGATGACGTGTCTGGTTGATTAGTGACAGATCAGGACCAGACTCGAGCCCCCTTCTCTTCCGGCTCTGCTCTTTTCTTCCTGCTTCCGCTGCCCGCTCTCCTGATTGATCTGATACCCTCTTGGCATCATTAACATGTTACACTCCTTTAATCCGGACAAGTCAGATTTGTGCTCACTAAAAACAAAAGTCAGCCCTTTTAGCATAGATTCCTCTTCTTGCCACATGTGACTAGAATTTTTCTTGCCAGGGGAAGGATTTGTCAACAAATGGAGGTCAGGCAAGTAGTTAGCTGTTTGAACAACAAACAACAACAACAAAAAATGTACATTAAAGCTATTACCAAATGCCTTTTATAATGAAGCTCTCCCCAGACTTTAAGAACAGTGGAAGAAATTTACAGGTTTGACTACGTAAAACTTGCCATTTTTAGTATATTAAAACATGCCATGTTACAAAGCAGGTAAAAACTGGGGAAAACATTTTATAACAAATATGTCAGACATGAGGCTTAACATCCTTGATATGTAAAGAGCTCTTTACATATGAATATAAAAATACCTGACCTAAAAATGGTCAAAGGATGTGAAAAGAAAATCACTCACAGAAAATGGTATAGAGATAATCTGTACACTTGGCAGAAAAAAAATATTTGCCTTACTAATTATCGTGAAACGCAAATTAAAAACACGATGCTATTTTTTTTAACCTATCAAATTTGTAGGCACTGTATAACATAAAGTCCATGCTATGACAAAGACAGTGAGACAGTGTCACCCCAGCAGTGGCCGTGGTTAATGTAACTTGCCAGGAAGAACTTCGGCTCCGAGGTTGGCATCCCTACAGTCGTTTAGACCCTTGGATTCCGGGCTGCCCATTGGCAGGTGACTTATAATCACAGAGACATAGAACCCCAGCTGTCGCCAATGGGGAAATCATGAAATGACTCATATCATATCGATAGGGAGGAAATGTGCCACCACCATTCACATCGTGTCTTCCAGGAATCCCTAGTACCAGAAACTGTTCATGATATAACATCAAATAAACATACAACACAGAAGTGCTCATAGGATAAAAATTCCGGTCGAGCAAAAGGGTATGTGGACAGATGTGTATATTCACATATTTTTGCATTTTTGGAGACCAGGATAAAATACATCAGTGTTTTTTTTTTCTGTTTGGTATAATTGTGAGTGGTTTTGTATTTCCCAGATTTTCTTTGCTGAGTGTGTGTGTTTGTTTTTTTTTTTTTTAAGATTTTTTTTATTTATTTATTTGAGAGAGAGAATGAGAGATAGAAAGCACGAGAGGGAAGAGGGTCAGAGGGAGAAGCAGACTCCCCGCTGAGCAGGAAGCCCGATGTGGGACTCGATCCCGGGACTCCAGGATCATGACCTGAGCCGAAGGCAGTCGCTTAACCAACTGAGCCACCCAGGCGCCCGAGTGTGTGTGTTTTTTAAAGATTTTGTTTATGTATTTGACACAGAGAGAGCACAAGCAGGGGGAGCAGCAGAGGGAGAGGGAGAAGCAGGCTCCCTGCTGAGCAGGGGTAGCCAGCCTCTGGGAAACTCAGTACCCTTGTTCTTCCCACAGCCCACTTCCCCCCAGGCTGTCCTTGGTCTACACTCGCAGGCTCACACCCTGCTTTGCTCCCCACCCTCCCTCCCCACCCACACCCTGTGGAATCCTGTGATACCCTCGATTCATTTGTCACTTTTCTCCCCAATTGGCTGTAAACTCCTTGAGGGCGGAAACCGTGCCCTTTTGGAGTAGGTACCCCATAAATTAAGTGGGTGTGGCTACGTTATGTGACTGGCTGCACCGCAGGAAGAAACTGGGTGTTACCAGCACAGCTGCTTAATAGAAGGATGAGACCCCCGAGGGGGCAGGAGGACCCCAGCGCTGGGCGCTCCACGTTGCAAAGCCTGTGAACAAGCCTCTCTGCATGTCTCACGGGTCCTGCAGCGCACGGGAAACCTTCAAGAGCGGTCAGGAGTTTAACTCTGATTTAAGACAAAGCTGCTGGGAGCCTGCTTCTCCCTCTCCCTCTGCCCCTCTCCCATGTGCGTGCGCTCTCTTTCTCTCTCAAATGAATAAATAAAATCTTTTTTAAAAAATTAAAAAATAAATAAAAAGCTAAAAAAAAAAGAAAAGACACAGCTGGATTCTCATGGGGGCCGCATCACTTGGTCAGCCACGTACCTGGGGGCAGATTGCTCCCCTTCCGTGGTCCTTAGCCTCTCCACCCTTCCAGTGGGGTAAGAACAGCACCCTCCAAGGGTACTGGTGGGAACTACACGAATCAGCCTCAGACCAAGGGCATAGTCCGTGCTCCGCGAGGAGTAGTGTACATGTTATGCTATTGCTGCTCTGCTTTTAATACTGTGATTAAAAGGGGCGAGTTCAGTGTCCAGAGCAAACGTGGGTGGGAAGGAGGCTTTCTGCTTACCTGCTTGGGTCTCTGGCCTTCCGTGCCCTGGCTTGTTTCGTGCGGCTCAGTATTCTTCCACCGTTCTTTTCTGTTCCTCAGCAAGCTTCTCAGAGAGTGGTCCTCCACAGCCCCGAGTTTGAGGACGCGCTGTGTGCCCTGACAGTGATGGCCTCCCCGATGGCCCCCCACATCACCTCGGAGCTCTGGGCAGGTAGGTGGGGACATCCTTGCCAGACCCGCTACTGCTAACCTGGATGTGCCCCAGCCTCTCGTGGAACTCGACTTGGGGCCCAGATGTCCTCAGGCGTGGGGCCCAGCGTTTGGCACCTGTACCAGGGACCTCTGTGCCTCGCAGTCGGAATGGTGGTACTTCTGCGCGCTCACCCCTGCCGAAGGGGAAGGCCCCTCTCCGCGTTGGCACCCCACGCCCGCCCCGCTGGGAATGTGGACGGCCCCGCGGGGCGCTCTTTCTCCAAACCCAGCCTCCCGCTCTCCATAGGCCACGACCCCACGTTCTCTTTCTAAGAGGGGAACGCAGGGTTAGTCCCACTTTACAGATGAAGAAACGGACGCCTGGAGTCAGGCTGCAGATCTAAAATTTACTTAAACTGGGATTCGGGTCTCTCCAGCAGACCGTCCTTCCTAAACTGGGCGCTGAAGCGAGTCCCACTGACTGAGGCTCACTGGCTAAGTGGGGAAGCTTCCACCCCGCCCGCCCCCTTGGAGGTCCCAGTTCTGGAGCTGGGGAAATGACTGGAGAGTTTTGTTTGTTTGTTTAAGACTTTAGTTGAGAGAGAGAGAGCATGAGCCGGGGGTAGGGGCAGCAGGAGAGGGAGAAACAGACTCCCCGTTGAGCAGGGAACCCTACACGGGGCTCGATCCCAGGACCCTGGGATCATGACCTGAGCCAAAGGCAGACGCTTAACCGACTGAGCCACCCCAGGCGCCCCATGACGAGAGTTTTTAACCAGCTCCCGGGTGATGCTGATGCACAGGCGGGTGGGGGACTGTGTCCCTCTACTGTTAAGACCTGGCTCTCAGGGGCACCTGGGTGGCTCAGTCGGTTAAGCGGCTGCCTTCGGCTCAGGTCATGATCCCAGGGTCCTGGGATCGAGCCCCACGTCAGGCTCCCTGCTCAGCGGAGAGCATGCTTCTCCCTCTCCCACTCCCCCTGCTTGTGTTCCTGCGCTCTCTCTCTCTCTCTCTCTCTGTCAAATAAATAAATAAAATCTTTAAAAAAAAAAAAGAAAAAAAGACCTGGCTCTCAGAGGAAAGCCTAAGGCAAGATTTCATGCACTTTTTTCTCTCGTAGGGCCGCCTCTTGAGAGCATTTTCAGGGCGCATTGGTCATTCTAAAAGGCCATCACTAGAAATACCAACATCCTGTCCTATTAAGAAATAATTGGAACGTTCTTTACCCTAAACTGTCTTCAATAGTTAATTCTTTCTTTTCCTTTTTGTCATCTCTATTTCTTGTTAATTTTAATGTGGAGCTACTTTTTCAGATGGTGTGAGGTTTATAGTATCTTCCCATTTCCTATTTTTGGACACATAGACCCTTTATAATGACACATCATTGTTTTAAAAGTTGAATAGCTAATTTTTTGTTCACATACGAAATCCTTAGAACACATACCTAAATGTAATGCTTGCCCAGAAAGGATACAAAACATGAAGGCTTTTGATGCACCTCTTCAAATCTCTGGATCCTTGGTGAATATGCACAAGCAAGAGCCTCTGTCATGATTCCAGGGGTTTTGCAAGGACGTTGCAATCCCTTGGTGATAAACTCACCCTGCGTGCTGGAATAACCCAACCTGGGCCCACTCCCTCCCTCTGAAGTCCTGAGTGATATGCTTATGACTTTGTTGCTGTGAGGATAAACGTCAGGGCCACACACCTTATGGGGCCAGAGCAGGTGGATATGTCTTAGAGGAGCTCAGGCCCCCAGGCCTTGGCCTTGGTGTCAGAGGCCTCATGTAGCCTGTCAGGACCGACTCAAGACAGAATGTGGAGCAACAGTTTGGCCACCTTTGCTTTACATGGGACTCCAACTGGTTGCCTAAGGGTTTACAAGTAAAATTTCATCTGTGAGTATTTCCAATTTAAAAACAAGATACACTTGTAAACATTTTGATTTTTTTTTTAACTTATAAATGTTTTTAATCACTGCATTAATTGCCCCCAGGCATGACTTTGGTAACTGTTCGGGTGACGTGTCTAGCATTTGCTCCCATAATCTGCCACGGGCAATTCTGGGCAGAGATCTGAGTTTCCACTTCAGATGATGCCCTTGAAGTGGAAAAGATAGGAATGTTTTTAAGACTCTCAATCTATGTTGCCAGACTATTTTCCTGAAAAGTTAGCCCGTTTCCACTCCAGGGTCTGTTTTTGAAGTATGTGTTCTGTTTCACTGATTTAATTATTGGATTTTTCAACGTAGTTTTGACATCTGGTGTGCTAGCCTCCCTTCATTTCTTTTTTCATAAGTATTTGAGTGCTTCTCACCTGTTTATTCTTCTCAGTAGAACTCTGGTATAATTTTATTATTAACATCCTTGAGATTTTGATTGAAATGTGGGTAAACCTAGAATTAATTTGGGAAGTCCTTACATCTTTACTCCTTCCAGACCTCCATGTGGTCTGTCTCTCCCTTTTTTTTTTTTAAGGTTTTATTTTGGGGGTGCCTGGGTGCCGCAGTTGGTTAAGCATCCCACTCTTGGTTTTGGCTCGGGTCGTGATCTCAGGGTCATGAGATCGAGCCCCGTATCAGGCTCCTTGCTCAGCATGGAGTCTACTTGGGATTCTCATTCCCTCTCCCTCTGTCCCTCCCGCTCATGCTCCTCCCCCCACACTCTAAAATAAATAAAATTTTTAAGAAATATTTATTTTTTTAAAGATTCTATTTATTCATTCGAGACCCAGATAGAGAGACAGAGCATGAGCAGGGGGAGAGGCAGAGGGAGAAGCAGGCTCTCCGCCGATCCAGGAGCCAGACGTGGGGCTCGATCCCAGGACCTGGGATCATGACCTGAGCCGAAGGCAGACACTTAACCATCTGAGCCACCCAGGCGCCCCCCAAAAAAAGATTTTATTTTTAAGTAATGTCTACACCCAACGTGGGGCTCGAACTCACAACCCGGAGATCAAGAGTTGCACACTCCACCAACTAAGCCAGCCAGGCACCCCATCTCCCTCTCCATTCAAGACTTCCATTATGCTGAATCGAGTTTTGTTCATTTCTTTTGCAGTTTTTCTTCTGACTCTATGCATTTCTTAAAGAGTATTCCCGAGTATTTTTTTGTTATATTTTTATTTTTGCTCTTGTGACTGGAGTCTTTTCTATCACTTTTGACTGGTAATGGCTGGTATGTAATTTTTAAAATTTATTTGCATGCTTATTCTCTTACCCAGATTCCCTACAAATCTCTCCTACGTTGGGTAAGGGGTAAAATCCTCTTAGATGTGCTAAGATTCTGTGATTAGCAGATAAGGACAGGTGTTCTCTTTCTAACAGTTATGGCTTGGTGTCTGTGTGCATAATGTATTAAACTGCTCAGAAAACCCTATGGGATGTTCGAGGTGCTGGTCCAGACGGCCCCTATAATGTTTTGGGGTTTGTTTTTTTTTTTTAAGAATTTTCTAGAGAGAGAGGGAGTGTGAGCAGGGGAGGGGAGGGGCAGAAGGAGAGGGAGAGAGAATCTCAAGCAGACTCCCCGCTGAGCATAGAGCCCAAGGTAGGGCTCGGTCCCACGACCCTGAGATCGTGACCCGAGCCGAAATCAAGAATGGGACACTTAACTGACTGAGCCTCCCAGGCACCCGGATAATCCCTCTACTGTTAAGGAAGCAGCTCTCTGTCCTTGTTTTCCAGAACTCATATTAGGAACGGGAGCTCTATTTTATTTAACATCCGTTCTTCACTTGTTGAGGTGTTTGTATCATCTGCTTTCAACTTCCCCCCTTTGCCTTGTTGATATCACTGTTGCCCAGTTAATTGATCACCTAATACCGAGCTCTCCCGGCATAGATTCTTCTTGACTATGGTGCAGCGGACTTTGAGTTTACTGTCAAATCCTATCTGCTAGTGTTTTATTTGGAATTTGGCAGTTATTTTCCTAGGAAGACCAGTTTTTCTCAATGTGTGTGGTCAGGCTTGGAAATGAGGGTTTCACTGACTGCACCAAGTGAATTGCTTTGGGTTCCTCTGTCCTTTGTGGTGCTTTAGAACAGACTACAGAGGAAGAGACGCTTACCCATTCTTTGCTGAAGAGACAGAGTGCCCTAAAGGGAGGTTGGTATCAGGCCCTGCCACGCTAATTCCATATTCTATCATGCAGCCTTTTATCCTCCCCTTGGGAAGGAAACATGACTCTTTCATTTAGCATTGGCAACCACATTAAGTTTTTTAAATGGCACACGGTTCATTCTCTCCTAGTCTTCCTTTGCTTTAGAACAAACCAACCTAATTTGTAATAAACTTACTCTTATCCTAGAATATGCACATCTCTCCCTTTTATCTTCCTGCTTCGTCCCGCGTTATCTGTCTTCCTCCCTCATTTCACTTCTCCCACGAAGGACTGATGTCAGTGTGATTGGCAGAAACGTCCCCCTCTTGCATGCCCCTTCAGTTGTGTTGCGGGCAGGCAGAGAGGATCTCCTCTCCCCGGGGCCCTGTCCCCACGTGGCAGGTCTTAGGAACCAAGTGTACACTGTGGCATGGCAGGACCCCCAACAGGACACACGCTAGAGGATCGGGTTAGAAACTAGCCCATTCCAAACCTTGCGCCCTGGATTTTCCAACACATCACACACAGCTTTTGTGAGCTGTGGCATAGTAAGTCAGTAGAGATTGAATGTGAGGTTTGCTGCAGTGTTTCATTCAGTTGGATTTATTGAGCACGTATTTTATGTGCCAGGCTCTGTTCTGGGCCTTTGTGGGAGAACTGGGGGAGGGCGGTCTTCCCTCATGTTTTACAAATTCGTAGCAACTAATTTTGTTTTTTTTTTAATTCGAGGAAGTAATGGGAAACCTTTGTCTTGTGGCTCTCCACATGTGTACATGTGACAGCCTCTGAATGAGCCGCAGGGTCCATGACAGAGTCAACTGAGGAGCCCCACGCACCTGGTGTGGCACCCTGGTCATTAAGTCACAGGTGCGGGTCAGGTGCCCTCAGTAGAGAATGGAGACGTGACTCCTTCCTGCCTCTC